ACCTGGGGCCGGAAGGTGGTCGTAAGCCGAGGACCGGCGGGGGGTGGGCTAGAGGACCTCGGAGGCCCCTTTCCGTGCCCTCTGCTGGCGCCGGCCGGGGCGGGGAGCCGCTTAGCGGGGAGGCTTCCGCAGGGACCCGCCTCTCCTGCCCAGCCGGCCGGAGGAGGCGGCGGCGGCGGCGGCGGAGAAGCCGGAGGAGGAGGAGCGGGGCCCGGCGGGGCAGCCATGAACGGCAGCCGCAGCGAGAGCGACTGGCAGGGGCTGGTGGGAGAGGTGAGAGCGGCCGAGCGGCGGCGGCGGAGGGGGGCAGCCCGGGCAGGGAGGGAAGGCAGCCAGGCCGAGGCCCCCGCTGGGCCTGCTCGGCTCCGCGCTCGCCTCCCGCCGCCCCCGGGCATCGCCCGCGCCTCCCTGGGCAGGGGATGCGCCGCTTGGACGGAGGAGGAGGAGGAAGGAGGGAGGAGAAAGAGGCAGAAGGAGGAAGAGAGAAGGAGAGGAAGAAGAAAGAAAGAAAGGAGAAGGAAGAGGAGGGAGAAGGAGGAGGGAAGAGGAGAGGGAGGAAGAGGAAGGAGGAGAAAGAGGGAGAAGGAGAAAGAGGGAAGAGGAGGAAGAAGAAAGAAAGAGAGGAGAAGGAAGAGGAGGAAGAGGGAGAAGGAGGGAAGGGGAGACAGAGGAAGAAGGAGGAAGGATAGGGGAGGAGAAAGAGGGAGAAGGAGAGAGAGGAGGAGGAAAAGGGAAGAGGAGAGGGAGGAAAAGGAGGGAGGAAGAAGGAGGGAGGAGAAAGGGAAGAGGAGGAAAAAGAAAGAAAGAAAGAAGGAAGAGGAGGAAGAGGGAGAAGGAGGAAGAGGAAGAAGGAGGAAGGATAGGAGGAGCAGAAAGAGGGAGAAGGAGAAAGAGGGAAGAAGAGGAAGAAAAAAGAAAGAGAGGAGGAGGAAGAGGGAGAAGGAGGGAAGGGGAGACGGAGGAAGGGGAAGAAGGAGGAAGGATAGGGGGAGGAGAAAGAGGGAGAAGGAGAAAGAGGGAAGAGGAGGAAGAAGAAAGAAAGGAAAGAAAAGGAGGAAGAGGAGGAAGAGGGAGAAGGAGGGAAGGGGAGACGGAGGAAGAGGAAGAAGGATGAAAGATAGGAGGAGCAGAAAGAGGGAGAAGGAGAAAGAGAGAAGAAGAGGAAGAAAGAAAGAGAGGAGGAGGAAGAGGGAGAAGGAGGGAAGGGGAGACGGATGAAGGGGAAGGAGGAAGAAGGAGGAAGGATAGGGGGAGGAGAAAGAGGGAGAAGGAGAAAGAGGGAAGAGGAGGAGGAAGAAAGAAAGAGAGGAGTAGGAAGAGGAGGCCTAGGGAGGAGAAAGGGAGGAAGAGGAGGATGAAAGAAGAAGAAGGAGGAGAAAGAGGGAAGAGGAGGAGGAAGAAGAAAAAGGAGGAGGACAAGGGAAGGAGAAAGAGAGAAGGAGAAAGGCAGAAGGAGAAAGCGGGAGAAGGAGGAGAGGTCTCCAACACGGGGAGGTTTTTAAGAAGAGATTGGCCTGAAATGGGGAGATAGGGGGTTGGACTAGAAGACCTCTGGGGCCCCTTCCCACTCTTGTTCTCCTGAATTCTATATGCTTCCTTGGGAAATCGATGTGCATGTTGTGTTTGTTCAGTAACACACAGCGTGTCCTTTCCGCTGAGTGGCTACAGGACACACACACACACACACACACACACACACACACTTGAACAATTATTGAATTTAGGCTCTGTTTGTCGTGCCTCCCGTTGACTTCAAAACTAACCAAACAGGTTCTAAACCAGCAAGGCCAATTTTTTTCTTTTAAA